AAAAAAAAAAAAAAAAAAAAAAATTAGAAGCTTAGGCCCATAATAATTTGATGGGCTATTCCCGGACAAAACCTAACAGTTAGCTTTCATATTCGGCCCAACTATTGGTACCACCAAAAGAACAGGTAAACCCCCAGAGCTAAAAATTTCAAATATCAAAACAATGGCTCAATAAAAAAAAATAAAAAAATAATGACCCTAATTCTCAAATGCCCCATTTTCTGGACAACCAAGAACAATACATTATCAGATAACTATTACAGAACAATTAATAACTTAATCACCAATCACACCATGATTATCACTATTAATCACAGGGATTACCAAATTAGATTCTACACTTTTGACTTCAAACTAAAATGGAGCCATTTTCCTACCTAATTAAGCCAGAGGGATTCTAATTAATAACTTCCCCCAAAGCAAAGGACAAAGCCCAAATCCCATTTTTTTGTTGGGCCTTTTTAAATTTTCAAGAAGTATAAGTGCATGTTATGGGCTTGGACTTATCCAAAATAGACCACATGACCTTAACGTCCTCGTATGCACAGGCCATGACTTCACCTTGTAAGTCCATTATACGATGTTCATGTCCACCTGCATCAATATAATTATTGTATAGTACTTAAAAACAATTATTGTATAGTACTGAAAATCACTTTCATTTTTTTTTTTTTTTTTTCAACTTACAGCATCCACAAGTAATTAATTAATGTAAGAGGAAATTAATGTAATTCTCGAGTGATACGTAGAGCCGGCTCCTTGGAGGCAAGCTAGGCCCAATGCCTAGGCCTCCATTTATTTGGGGCCTCAAATTATTTTTATTATTATGTATTTGTGTTGGCTTGGCCCATTTATATAAATAAATCTACTAATGACTAAATATAGACTTGACCCATTACACAAATGAAATAGCTAATGACAAAGTATGTGTTTTGTGTGAAAATTTGAAGCCCTGAATATTTCATTTGTTATGTTTTAATGTCCGGTCAGAACATTCTTTGCAGTGATATGATTTTTATTTTCTTCTTCATGTGTTCTTGTGACTACCCGAATATAATTTATTAAAGATCTTTGTAACCCAAAGGTAATTTATCAGTTCCAAAATCTAGAAAAACAAGAATTTTTTTTATTTATTTCAATATTTATTAATTTAATAGTATGGTTTAATTAGGTTCTTTTCTGCTATGATTTTATTTGCAAATAGCCATAATTACCACGCAAAGGCAAAATAGAAAATTCGAAGAAAAAAAACTTGTCTATGGCCTCCATATTTCTGGAGACGGATGAAATGTCATACCTCTGTTTGTGTTATTTATTAAAGTTATTTTTCAATTTGAAAGTATACATTTTAATTGAAAAAATATAGTTGGCTAACTGCGAAGTCTACCTAACAACAGTCTTTCTCGTTTGAAAGTATACATTTTAATTGAAAAAATATAGTTGGCTAACTGCGAAGTCTACCTAACAACAGTCTTTCTCGTTTGAATATGGTGTATGTATGATGATATATCATCGTAATTTGGGACATTCTTGCAATACATAATATAGAGCAAAGCTTTCTCCTTTCTCAATCTATACACATCTTTGTATTTCAACTTTTAGCAAGAGCAAATGTACATATACACAAGACTCAATAGCATATGTACTATGAAAATGAATTGGGATTAAAAGGGAAAAAAAAAGATGAAGTACCTTGTTTGGACTTCTTATCCTTGTGGTGGTGATGATTGTGGTTAAAGAAAGTACAAGCTTTTTTGAAAGGAGAAGTGATTGTTCGGACCCAAGAAGCCATTTTTGCACTCTAATTTGTCTTTGTTCCCAAAGAGCTTTTTTGGGTGGCTTATATAGGAATGTTTATTGGGCTCTCGAAAAGTGTTGCAAGAACTAAGTATTATGAAGATGTGTGGGATAGTGATAATGTGCGTCAAAGGCCGAAGGCAAGATCCGCAACACAAGCTGTGGGTTTATTAATAATCATCGTCTAATAATGAGACAATAGATTATATATACTTTGTTTGATAATTAAACAAAATATTTATGTATACTATAGTACTATATATATGTGTTGAATACTTTTTCTGCATAATGTGTGTTGTGTTTGTGAGGGACTGCAGCTTTGCACATGGCGCACGTTTCCCAAATTAGGCCAAGTACATGTGAAGATGCCCCCCCATTCCTTTGCTTTCTACAAAGGAGATGTATTGTTATTAATTGCAATGGAAGGGCATATCTAATCTATGATCCATAAGAATTGTGAGCCAATGAGAGCAAACAATCAAGAAATTCGACAACACGCTATCCGAGAAGATAGGGGATTTAGCTAGTGCAATCGCTTACGCTCATACACATACTCAGATAGATGTGTGTTAATCGAACGTTTTTAACTTTCATGGAACCCATGAAGATGTGATGTATGAGTGTATTGATCGGAATTCGGAAGTTTTAACTTTAGTAAGGACATGATTGTAAATGAGCCGAGCATCTCTTAACGAGCCAAAAATCGAGCTTGAGCTCGGCTCGTTCATCAATATTAACGAGCCGAAGTATAGAAAATTATATAAAAAAATTCTTTTCGAGTCGAGTCAAGCCCGTCTCGTCAACGAAACGAGCTTTAAAAAAAGCTTGTGCTTGGCTCGTTTATCGAATGAGCCAATTTGAGCCCGCCTCATTAATGAAACGAGTTTTAAAAAAACTCATCCTCAGCTCGTTTATCAAAATAAGTCAATTCAAGCTTCTCTTGGTAACGAAACGAGCTTTAAGAGAGCTCGTGCGTGGCTCCTTTATCAAACAAGTCGAGCCGAACTCAAACGTTAACGAGCCGAGTTCATGAGCGGCTCAATTCTCTTAACAACTCTGAGTAAGGGCATGAGGTAGACTGAAATTCACCAAATTTTGGTATATCATGTTTTGAGAAGGTCAGGCACATGGGGCCTTCCATTTCTCAACCATCTGACAAAAGTGAGAAAAAAATAGTACGTAACACTACAGAGCTTCGAACCAAAATTTAATTGATTGGCAATTCTATTTTCCAATTAATTAACGCTTAATATGTTTTATTTACCAACTAAAACAGCAAAATATTATTTAAAAAAACCAACTAATAACTCTTCAGAAACCAATAGACACCCACAAACTGGGCATCTGGCAATAATAACTTCTTGAAATTATGAAAACATAACAGAAATCCAATCCATAGCACGAAACACAAATTCAACATTTTTTTTTTTTCAGCTAATCCTTACCCACTTAATAATGAGGGAAAACACATGAAAACCAAGCAGTTTTTCCAAATCTCCCCAATATGCAGAAAATACAATCAAACCAAACCAGTACATCAATTTTTTCTTCAAATCTGCTCCTCATCTTCCTCCTCCTCGTCCTCGTACTCCACATCATCATCGGCCGTGGCGTCCTGGTACTGCTGATACTCGGACACAAGATCATTCATGTTGCTCTCAGCCTCCGTGAACTCCATCTCGTCCATGCCTTCGCCCGTGTACCAGTGCAAGAAAGCCTTTCGCCTGAACATGGCAGTGAATTGTTCGCTTACTCTGCGGAACATCTCTTGGATGGAAGTCGAGTTACCGATGAAAGTCGAGGCCATGGAGAGTCCCCTCGGCGGGATGTCGCAAACGCTCGACTTCACGTTGTTGGGAATCCACTCAACAAAGTAAGACGAGTTCTTGTTCTGTACGTTGATCATCTGCTCGTCAACTTCTTTCGTGCTCATCTTGCCTCGGAACATGGCGGAGGCCGTAAGGTAGCGGCCGTGGCGCGGGTCGGCCGCACACATCATGTTCTTGGCGTCCCACATTTGTTGGGTGAGCTCGGGAACAGTGAGGGCTCGGTACTGCTGGGACCCGCGAGAGGTGAGAGGGGCAAAACCAACCATGAAAAAGTGGAGTCGAGGAAAGGGGATGAGGTTAACGGCGAGTTTGCGGAGGTCAGAGTTGAGTTGGCCAGGGAAGCGGAGGCAGCAAGTGACGCCGCTCATGGTGGCGGAGATGAGGTGGTTGAGATCGCCGACTGTAGAAAGTAATGATAAAATTAGCAAGTGAGAGTAATGAATGTTGTAAGATTTGATTTTTTATCGGTTATGGGTTCAGGTTCACATTTCACGCATGTAAAGGAATCACGCAATTACAAAAAGTGATCCTCTACAAGATAATGGGCAGTCTACGGTGTAAACTACTTTGAGAACATATCATTGCACTGGGGCAGTAAGCAAAGATGACAAGAAGTTAATAAAAAAAACTACACCAAATGAATGTGAATCCCAAGAGTTTGTGAGAAAAAAAAAGGAACATGTGTTGAGTACTCACAGCTAGGTGTGGTAAGCTTGAGTGTCCTGAAGCAAATATCATACAGAGCCTCATTATCGAGCACCATGCATTCATCAGCATTTTCAACAAGCTGATGCACGGAAAGAGTAGCATTGTAAGGCTCGACCACAGTATCCGAGACCTTAGGAGAGGGGAAAACAGAGAACGTCAGCATCATCCGATCAGGGTATTCTTCCCTGATCTTCGAGATCAATAAGGTACCCATACCCGAACCAGTACCCCCACCAAGTGAGTGGCAGACTTGGAAACCTAGACAACACGAAACAAATTTTCACAAGTTAAGCCTCAACTAGATTAATGTAATAAAAGTACTCAACAGCTTAATTATAATTTAAGCATAAAATTTACCCTGAAGGCAGTCACAATTCTCCGCTTCCTTCCTGACGACATCAAGAACAGAATCGATCAGCTCGGCACCCTCGGTGTAGTGTCCCTTGGCCCAGTTGTTCCCAGCACCGGACTGTCCGAAAACAAAGTTGTCGGGCCTGAAAATCTGCCCATATGGGCCAGTTCGAACACTGTCCATGGTCCCAGGCTCAAGGTCCATGAGCACAGCACGAGGCACAAACCTACCACACGATGCTTCATTGTAGTAGACATTAACACGCTCCAGTTGCAGATCAGATGTCCCCACATATCGTCCCGTTGGGTCTATACCGTGTTCATCACAGACGACTTCCCAGAATTTGGATCCAATTTGGTTACCACATTGTCCTCCCTGAACGTGAAGGATTTCTCTCATCTTTTCCTGCAATTCAAAATTCCCAAGCATACACTTAAACATCCCCACAGTTTCAACGGACAGATTCATATGCAGTAATTCAGATTTGATATTTTCAAGAATCACTTCCAGGTTTCCTCACACGATATAACAGATACATACTCACAACTACTCTTCGATATGAAAAAATACAGCAAAATCTCCAATCCCTAACTCATACTAAACAAGCAAACCTTGCATTCAAACACATCTTACCCCATTTTTCAATCAGTTTACATACAGCAAATCTAGTTTGTTTCATCCGATATATTTCAAAATCAGCATAATCTGAACATATTTCCCTCAGATCTTTACCAGATCCACAACATTGAGATACATCTGGAGCAAAGAATCACAACCGCAGCACAAAATAAAAGCCAAGTAACAAACGCATCTCGATCTACTCACATACGAACAAATCGAAAGTCGAATCCAAGCACGAACAAAAACAAATCATCTCGAATCGATAGACAAAACAAAATCCGACGACATTCGGCATCAAACCGCAACACAGAAATCAAACCAAATCAAATTTCACAAAATAGATCCAAACATAAGCAAGAAAATAAAATCATAAACTAAACATCTCAAAAAAAATTACCTGTATAAAGTGCGAGGAGGCGAGGAGAAAGCCTGAGAGAAGATCGATGGAGAAGATAAAACTCGGAGTGAAGATGAAGAGTGTGTGAGATAAAAATGGAGGAGGGATTTTATATCTGAGAGGAGCGTGAATCTACGGCTCGTATTGATTCCCTCCTGCTCTCATCGGCGCATCCTCGGCCGTCCGATTGTGACAGTGAGGAAAAGTGAAATTTGAATTTTTTTGAAAATGATGGGTTGTTGCTTGACGAAAGTGACCTTTTGTGAAAAGTCGTGTATATCCTTTTACTAACTACATACAGCGGCTTTAAAGGAAATTTTTCAAATTTAGTCGACTAACGTTCGTCTTTGACATTTTAGGCACTCTAATGAGAATTTCAAATTTAGTCGTGTGATAAGTTGAAAGAAAATGCATTTTCTAGCTACTTGGATAATATAGGATGTGATATAAAAAGAGAATTATGATTTTTGATGCATAAGTGAAATAGTGAATTATACTTGTTGACGATCGCAATCGGTCAACAGTTAAATTTGTATTCGGAGTAGGTGAATATGAGAATAAAGGATAATTCAGGGAAGTCTTACGAGAGAAATGAGGTTTTATTACTTAATTACCAGTTCGGCCTCTCGAGATGAGGTCGGCTCTTTACTCACAGTTGGAAATAATTACGAGTACTGTGTGCACCAGGGACGGAGCCACCCTAGGACTAGGGGGCTCCAACCCCATGTCCTAACATTTTTTTTTTTTGGCTAAAGTATTTTATATAAAAAAAAAATATGAATAGACCTATTAGTCTTATGTAAATTTTTATGTAGTCCCATTAAATTTTGGACTAAATGCCTCAAGATTCAGGTCGAAATTTTTATCTGACAACAATGGTGTAAAAGTGATTATTGTAGTGAGAGTGTTAACATCCGGATCGGTAAACCTGCATTAAAGGACTCTAGCCACCACATTAGGAGGAAGATGATCATTGAACCGACGTTGTTACATACACCACCCCGGTTCAGGCGACAGACCGGACCGAACCGAACTACCGAAGACCGAAGTAGTCAACATCCACCGAGGTCAACATGAACCGAGGTCGTCACCTCCTTAAGTAGGTGACAAGGCGCCTACGTGTGACCCTCCAGCTCCACGAGATCCGTCATCATTTATGTGGGACCCCCTACCTCAAACCGCCCACAAAAAGTAACTTTATTCAAAAAAGTCATGCACAGATCCCAATGTATCAACCCGAAATTACTATAAATAGCGGGCCTATGACATTTGTAGAGGGATCTCACTTTCTCCGAATTCACCGAACTGTAAACACTTTACTAAGCAACACGTAAAAGCCCATCACGGCTCTTCACCTCGGTTCACCTCGGACCGGGGCCAATCGTACATGCTATACGTCCAAATCATTCAAAATTATCCACGTAATTACATGTTCTATCGTTGTTAACAATCACATAACAACAGTTTGGCGCTAGAGGAAGGGCCTCATAAGTAATTTGAGGTTAATCTCCGCATTTGCACATAACGGTGCATATCAGCCATATCCACCATGTCTCACTCAGATCATCGTGGTCACACGTCACGAGACGGCCACAGTCGCAGCGCCGGGCAATCCGCTAGACGACACGC